TAAAAGCTTTCTGATAGAAATAATTTCAATTTTGCAATAACCATTAAAAAACTTTTTAAATTTTTTAAAACTGAATATTTGTAATAGTGTCCTTATTCTTACGCGAAATTAAAGTTTTTCTAAGCATTTTTTAAAAAATTGTTAATAATTTTTAAAAAATCTACTTTTGAAACAATTTTTGCAATAATTCAGTAACAAATTAACAAAAAATACTTTGAAAAACATCATTTTGAATGATTTTCTATTCTTTTTTAGTAAAATTGTGTCTTTTTAACCCTTTAATTTACCATTTTTCACCTTAAGTATTTCAAATCAAGTAGCGATTTCACATTGTTTATAAGTAAAAAATAACGATTAGTATTTTTCATATTTTGTTCATTACATATTATTATTATCAACAAATTCATTAAAAGCAGTTGTTAGATACTTGTATCAACGAGTGTCTTGGACAAATCGTTAGTTTCCTGACTTATAAGGTGTAATGTAAGAACGAATATATTAAAAGATCATATAGACCGAGAAAGGAGTATAGGTAAGTAGAAGCTGTATACAATAGAGAAGTCTGAAGTTCTGACTACAATAGCAAACTCATCTGAGACGAGTTTGCTATTGTAATCGTTAACGTTCAATACTGGAGAGGGCGCCCGTAGAAGATGAAGGAGAAATTAAGAGCAGCGTAGGAAAAATAAACTATATAAAGTAAAACAGTAGAAAATAAAAAACGAAATTGAGTAGTGAGTAAATTAAGTACGATAGTGAGATTTATGGTCACCAAATGTGCTTTCATTCATAATCAAGTAATTCATTCTACTGACAAAATCTTAATGAGAACTGGAAATATTGCGATCGAAAGTTCAATAAACGCACCGAAACACCGAACATTTTTTGAATTGACATGAAAATGGAAATTAGCTTTCCTCTGGAAGCAATAAAATTGTTTATGGTTTGAAATCTTTCCGCAACATTTCCTTGGTTTCTGTGTTTTATTATATCCATTTTTATACGTTTCGGCTCGTAAATAGAGTATCGACGTCATAAAAGAATATCAGTAGAAAATATTTAGCGGAGATTTTCGCTTAAGTTCCTGCGAAATTACAAAATTAATTATAATGATGAGATTAAAGAGAGGAGCAAAATATGTCAAGTATGAGATGGAACGGAATTTTGTGATTAAATAAAAAAAGTAATATTGAAATTTGTTAACATTAATATGAATAGTGCCACCGCCTTTAAGTACTAAGAATATAATTCTTTAGGAAAGATAAAAACATATAAAATTATGTTATCTAAAATAAGAGTCTCAAACTTAAATTTAAAAATACATCCGACCAACATAAAATATTAAGTGATATTTTAATAATATACTGCTAAGTGTTATACAGAGCCATCGAAAAAAATTCTTCTTTTAGATGGTTATTCACTCTCACACAAAAATAAATTTAACATAACCTAACTTGTGCACAATTTATATTGCATATTTTCTTTATATTGCAGTTTTAACACGTTGTCTGTTTTGCCTCGCAATTCTTAGAAGGTACAGATTTAAGCAGAAATCTGAATTTGGTTTCGAAAAATTAGTTTACGGATTTATTCTTCTTCTTTAAGTTCCATCTTCTATCGAAGGTTGGAAATCGTCATGGTTATGCGGACTCTGTTGACTGCTGCTCTAAAAAGTTCTATACTACTGCATTTAAACCATTCCCTTAAGTTCTTAAGCCAGGATATTCTTCGTCTTCATTTCGCTTTCTTCGGATTTTGTTCTGCATAATTAGTTGTAATAGTGCGTATTTTTGCCCTCTCATCGCATGTCCCAAGTACTCAAGTTTTCGTCTTTTAATAGTTAATATTATTTCCGCCTCATTTCCTATCCTTCTAGTTTCTTTCACGTTTGAATCCATGATATTTGTAGGATTCTTCTCTAACACCAAAATTCCAAGACGGCCAACTTATTTAGATGGACTTGTTTTAGTGCCTACGCTTCCAAGCCATTAAGAAGAGTAGAGAACATTTAACATCGAAGCATTCTCAGTCGTAGTTCTAACCTTATATCCCGACAATAAGGTACCCCCAAACCAACGCGAATTAATTCGTAGCACATTCATGACGGAAAAATCGCACCAGAATTCAGTATCGGAAACGTTGAGTGAAAAAACAAATAACGATTATCAATTTCAATTGTTAAAAAAATGTATTCCTCATCAGATGAAGAAGAAGCACTCGCAATGTTTGCAATAAAAGATGAAAATTTGAGATAAAGTAATTACTAGCTTTTTCTGAAAATACCGACGTTGATATTTTTATGATTACAACTTTATAGGAAAAGAAGAAAATGGGTTCATGATATCAATCTTGAAAGAAGAGAATATGGCGAATTTCACGCATAAATGCAGTAATCCTGGACGACTGTGAAGATTGCTAAGTCGAGGCGCAAGCCGAGTCTTAGCAACACAGAGTCTAGGAATGTGGGTTTTCCTACGAGGTAAACATACTAGTTTTCCGCAAATCGTTTAAAATTCGACAGATATTGATTGATTTAACAAAAAACGCGATAATTTTATTCCCAAATAAATGGTGCTTTGAAATTCCTAATAAAATTACTTGGGTTACTATGGAAACGTATTGAGGTTGAATTGTCAAACTTGACGCTTATAAATTTAATTGCTGGTGTTCTCGAAAGTAAAATGATAAGTGATGATGAAATTTCCATTCCTGGGACTCCTCCAGAGCTGGTTGAGGCAGTGAATACTGCTTCATTAGAATTATTGCCAAAGAAATCAAGAGAAAAGTACGAAAATGCATACAGACGTTTTATGGATTATCGCATGAGTAAAAATACGAGTTCTTTCTCAGAAAATGTTCTATGGCATACTTCCTAGACCTTTGTTTAATGATGAAATCTTCAACATTATGGGCCAATTATTCAATGCTGAAGTCAACCCTTGCACTTAAACACAATGTAGATATATCTACATACTCAAAACTTCGTTCTTTATTGAAACGGCAAGCTCAAGGTTATAGGGCAAAGAAATCTAAGATTTTAACGAAGGAAGAAATTGAAAAATTTATCTAGGAAGCTCCAGATAAAGAAAATTTAATGATTAAGGTAATTTACAAGGTTTTACTTTCTATTTAGATTATAGCTTTATTTATTTTTTAGGTGGCTGTAATATTTGGTATTTCTGGGGCCTGTAGAATGGATGAGTTAGTCCGAATGACTGTACACGATATAGAAGACTTACAATCTAAGCTTTTAATCAGCATACCTGATTCGAAAACCAACAAACCAAGATCATTTGTAATTAATCAGATCTACTTGAATGTTTATCGAAAGTATGTTTCGTTAAGACCAGAAAATATGAACAGTGACCGATTTTTCTTTAAATATCAAAGCGGAAAGGGTTGTAGACAAGTGGTAGGAATTCATCAATTTAGAAAAATGCCCAAAATAATTGCTACTTATTTGAACTTGGTAAATTCGACAGAATATACTGGTCACTGCTTTCGTCGGTCTTCTGCAACAATATTGGTTGACTCTGGTGCCGACATAACTAGTTTAAAGAGGCATGGCGGATGGAAGTCATCAAACGTTGCTAAAGGATATATCGAAGAATCGCTTAACAATAAGGTTGAGGTGGCAAATAAAATTTTCACAGTACAAAATATTCAACAAAATGACACTTCCACCCTGCATGTTGTCCAAAATGTTTCTCATAGTTCGAAGAGTGTTCCTCCAATGTTCAATAATTGTACTAACTGTCAAATTACTGTAAATATAACAAATTGATCTTAAAAATGTATTCAGCAATGACTTGATGTTTTCAAAATATAAATTAATTCCTTATAAGCAATGTGTTTTCTATCATTTATGTAGAACACTAACAACTGTACGGAAATATCATTTCCTTACAGTAAGGAAATGACATTTCCTTACAGTAAGGAAGTCCTGACTTTTTCTTCAAGAAATTTTGACAGGAATGTCAAAATTTCCTGGCGATTTGCGGAAAATGTAATTTAATCAACATATAATAATAAAATTCGTTTCTCATCAAAATATTGAGTCATAGCATCAGTCCTTGTATTTAGGAAAAATGGATTTATTTGTTGTACGGGTTAAATGAGTGGAGGTAGTTTGAAGCAGAGGATGGATCCTGCAGTGACGCTGATTGGTAGCTAGCATAATCTTCCTTGTTGATAAGGTTAATAAAACCATTTTCTTCATTTATATCGGTAAAATCTGTTTCAACGGAAGAGACGTTTGAATAAGTATCTGCACTTGCAGATCTGGATTGATTTGTAGAACATTCCTCTAATTGAAGCTTCTGTTCCATGATGACTTGTACAATTTTTATTTTTGTTTCTATTATTCTCCAAGGAGTTAAAGTTTCTAACGTACAAGCGTGAGCCAAAAAAGTTGATCGATTGCATCAAAACTGACTTTTTTGCCTTCAAAATAAGTTATCATTTCTTTCACAGATGTGGATGGTTGAGAATGGCGTTTTCTGTTTTCTTTGGTGGCAATGGGAGTTTTACGCTCAGAAGTAACTTTAGGACCCCCACTTGACCTAGGTGTAACTGCTGAGGGTTGAACCTGAATGATATCAGTGTTCGATGTTCCTGAATTGTTTGATTGAGTGTCTTGTGAACTAGATGATTGTGCTCTTCCAATTTCATTCTCAAAAGACTCTATATTTGTCAATTCTGTATATTCTGGTACTCGGACATCGCTAACGTTAGATGTAGTTTTTGAAAATGCAAGAAAACTTGCTGGTTTGAATGGTTTGAATGCTTCCATCTGATCTGCCCATATCCATTTTTTCGTAAAATTTGCCGCCTGTCCAGTTTTAGTTTTACTGGTTTTAATATAGGCATACTTGGCATACGTATCTCGCAAATTTCTCCATTTTTTTCTTTATCTCATCCCCTAAAAAAATATTGTTAGATATCTGGCAACCAGAGATTCATTTTATACAATTGGCCATAGTTTTAGAGTTGATTTCTCGATGGTAAGTGCCATAGTTGTAGAAGTTTGTGAAGCAATATGTAGACATTTGCAATTAACATATTTACCCGAACCAACTACAGAAATTTGGAAAAAATCTGAAGAAGGCTTTAGAAATCCACTACAGGGATCAGCTTATCTTCAACTCCTATTTGTTGAATGGCTTCCCACAGTCGTTGTCTGGGCACAGAGTCAAAAAATGTTCGATGACAATATTATTCAGATGTAAGTAACATAATCAAGACGGTATGCTATTTTTAAAAACTCGAGATCCTCAAATTTTCGGTTATACATTTATAAAGAATATTAAAGACTTTTGCCGCTTTCTGTAAATATCCAACAAATAAAATGTGTGTTTTACAAATTTAGCTTTCATTAACATTAAATAATTGTTTCATAACATAGAATGAGATGGTATTTACTTCCGTGAAATTATACACAAACTGATAATTTATTTCTTACAATAATATTAATTTGAAATGCTTAAAATAACAAATGTTACCTACCGCAGAATAACCATCCATCTGTTTTAATTTTTGTAACCCCACTTTATATAAAGATTATTCCAACAGTAGTAATTATGTAGAATTATGTTAATTTTACAACCACAAAGATTAGGGTAGAATGTTAACTGGAACCTATAAATTCGCCGGTCACACGAGTGGAGTATTTTTACTTCTTGAAAAATGTAATCCTTATTGCCAAAATAATCATGATACAAAATTTTTTAAGAACTTATCTCCGAAACTTTCCTTGTACAGGGATGTTTCTGCATGTTTACCAAGTAATTATTGCTCGGGGAAAGATATTGTTCGGTGTATTACGTTTACATATGTTTGTGTACTAGAACATCTGTTCTACACCCTGGACTTGAATGAGGGTCAATGTTTATGTTGTTAATATGTGCTTGTGAAATCGATTCACCTTGTTACAGTAGCATTTTTAAACTAAGCCATGCATTTACTTATTGTCTATGAACATTTCTTGGCTTTGGTTTTGTTTTTTAGTTTACATTTACAATTTTGTTTATAACTGATATTTTGAAATAACAAAACTAGTAGCAATCCCAAGATTTCTTTCTTGGCTAAACTAAAATTCAAATATTTGTCTACTGCGCTGTTTACAATGTATAAAGCAAACAGGTTAATGGGTTAATCAACCAGGAGAATCTTCAATCTTTATTCCAGGAGCTGTCTTTCACCACGGCAAATGTCCTTCGCGAATTAGTTACTAATGGTCCGAACATGAGTAAATATTAATTTTAATTCAGGGCCACTGCCATCCTCAAATAGAAGCTTATAGCGATATATGTAGAATCTTATGCATATGTCATTCTGATACCTAACAAAGTCGAAATACGTATAAACGGATGGCAGTGGCCCGGCATTGCAATTAAATCTAAAACTTCTTCCTGTTTCTTGTTTTAAAATAATTTAACACTCCACTGTTGGGGCTGAAGCAACAAATTTTGAGAGTGACTATGATTCCGATGGTAACGATAGTATGGCTGGTACTGTTGCTGAGGATGCTGCTGATTTAAGCGCTGATGAAATGGAATCGGATAGTGCAGCTTCAACAGTTGCCTAGATAATTCAATAGCAATTAGGGGTATCAGAGGTTTCGCAAGCACTAAGTGTATCTATGAAAATTCCAGTGCAGGAAGCCTCACAACCTTTTCGGCGAGAGGAACGTCCTCGAACGCCAGAATTAATGATAGAAGATAATCCAGTAGTAGCAGTTCGTGGTGTAACAGGTGATGTTGCCATGAAAATTAATTTTAGCTAATTAAAATCTATTGTTTGGTAAAGTAAACACCTTTAACTTCATGTAAATGAGGTGGTATTTCGAGGCCAAAAGCAGTTTTCAAAAAAAATCAAGAAATTAGCCACTCCATAAGAATCTTTTCTTTCTTGACACAATGGTTGGTCATCTAATGGAGCAAACAAACTTGTACGCTCGGCAAAATGATATACAAACCAAATTCAGCATCCAGTCCGACGATATTCAAAAATTTATTGGCATTCTTCTACATTATTCATCAAGTGCCCTGTCCGTTGCGAACGTTGGCTATTAACATGGCAATTTTGATATTGTTTGCGGCGCTTCTGAATAGTTCGACCGATATGAACCCGAACCACTTCCGCAGATTTTGGAGCCACGAGTGTCTTCTCCTGCCTGGCCCTCGCTTACTGTCTATTTTTCCCTGGACAATCAATTGTAGCAGACGGTACTTATCGTGTCTCAATATGTGGCCTAGATATTCAAGCTTTCTTTGTTTAATTGTATTCACGATTTCTTTCTCCTTTCCGATTCTTTGGAGTACCTCTATGTTGGTGACATGTTTGGTCCAGGATATACGAAGAATGCGTCGGTACACCCACATTTCGAATGCTTCTAGTTTTCTCGTTAGCGTCTCCGTCAGCGTCCAGGCCTCCACGCCATACAGCAAGATCGGAAAAATGTAGCATTTCACTAGACGTAGTTTTAGGGGAAGAGACAAATCCTTGCTTATGAGGAGCTTTTTCATATTGCTAAATGCTGCTCTAGCTCGTTCTATTCTCGCCTTAATTTCTATGGTCTGTTCCCATTTTGCATTTACGTTGGTGCTAAGGTACACATAAGGTTCTACATGGTCAATTAGTATGTTACTTATCCGTAATTGTCGAGCAGGTTGTTGTTTTTTGCTTATCAGCATCCACTTTGTCTTCTTGAAGTTGAGGCTCAGGCCGTATTCCTCACTAACTGAATAAAGTCTTTCCATTACTTGTTGTAATTCGTCTATGGTACTGGCAAGGATCACCGTGTCGTCGGCATATCTTATATTGTTCGTTAATTCGCCGTTTATTTTTATGCCCTCATTTGCATTTTCCATACATTTGTTAAATATTTCCTCGGAATACATATTGAATAGGAGTGGGGATAATATACACCCCTGACGGACACCTCTTTTAATCTGCACGCTTTCAGTGAGTTCGTTGCCAATTTTTGCTCTTGCTGTTTGACCCCAGTATAGGTTTGCCACAATTCGAATGTCCTTGTCGTCAATACCTGTCTTTTGCAGAATGCCTATCAATTGTTCATTATTTACATTGTCAAATGCTTTTCTAAAATCTACAAAGCACAAATACACGTCTTTATCAACGTCTCTACACCGCTGTATAAGCACCTGGAGAGCGAAAATTGCTTCTCTAGTTCCAAGTGCTTTCCGAAAACCAAACTGCGATCTATCAATATTTGACTCACATTTATCATATATTTTTCTATGAATGATCTTAGTGAACGCTTTAGTGACATGATTGATCAAGCTTATAAGCCAGTATTCATCACAAATCTGGGCATTTAGTTTCTTCGGGATTGTAATAAATGTTGACTGCAGCCAGTTCTCCGGGATTTTACCGCTATTATATATGTTATTAAAAAGTACAACTAGATTATCAAGGAACTGTTTGTCTGATTTACATAGGATCTTTAATATTTCGTAGGGTACATTGTCCGGACCTGCTGACTTATTGTTTTTTAGTGCTGCAATGGCATCTTCTATCTCCGATTTAAGGATTAAAGGTCCTGTTTCTCCTTCTCCATATAGGTGGTCATCAGTCCTGTCAGATGCAAATAATTTTTCTATGTATGATTTCAATGCTTTTAAGATCGTTGATGGCTCTGAGATAAGATTTTCATCGCTAACTTTTATGCTGTTGGGTGACTTATTGAATTTCCTCTTGTTTGTCATCGATTTTATTAATTCCTCTATATATGTCTGTTAATCGCTATTCGAATGTCCGGTCATATTGGTGAAAACATTCTTTTGAGCCAATTCGTCAGACTATGCCTTTGCTTTGGTCTGAATCTATACGTTGGTACCTACACTATAATGAAAACTCAGTAGCTGTGTGAAAGGGGTAACCTTGGATACGATTCCCTGCATAAAGTTCGTCCGCTAGTGAAACATTTCAAGGGCAGGTTTCTCTATGTCATTATGCATTGTATGTTGAGCATAGATGAACAAATGTTCACTACAAAGATCACTGGAACTGAACTCTGACAGTATATGTCCAACAAGCCGCATAAGTGAGGCTTCAAATTTTTTTGCCTTTGTGTTACTTCTGGATTTTTGTATTCGTTTAAAATTTGCAATGGTGCAGGAGACAACATAATCTTGGACAACACTCCAGATCTTGGGGCTTCCTCGAATGTTGTGGTTCGCTTATCAAAGCACATTCCACATTTCGTGAATCATATTTTATACTTAAACAATTTCTATACGTCTTTGGGCGTGCTTACCTATCTCCAAAGTAGAGGAATATACAGCTTGGGCACAGTAAGAAGAAACAAAGTACCCAAAGAAAACGATACAGAATATGTGCGACATTTATCGACCTATGTTGGCGTGAAACCATTTGCATCTAAAAATGATAGCGTACAGTCCCAAAAAATTGGACGGTGGGATAGAAAGAAAAGAGTTTACGATGAAATCGATTGCCCACAGATCATCAAAGAATATAATCGGCATATGCTAGGTATTGATTTGATGGATGGACTATAAGGTCAGTATCGCACTGCAAGAACCACTAAGCACTAAGACCAGAAAGTGAAATAATCGTATTTTTTACCACCTCATAGATGTGGCTGTGTTCAAAGCTTACCTACTGTATCACAGGATTCATTCCCAAAAAGAAAAAATTAAGTTGCCAGTGTTCAGATCACAAGTAACTGAATCGATCTGCTTGTGTGGCATAACTGAAGTCAAACGACCTTCCAGTTTTTCACCTAAAACCACTGCAAGTGCATCAAAGAGAGCATACCTTTTGACGGAGGACATCCGTTATGATCATACTAGTAAAAAACAATGCAAATTTTTAAAATGCACATCCGAAACCCAAGCATATTGTATAAAAGGCAATTTGTATATAATGCAATAAATATATTTATGTAATTGAACAAAAATATGTTTTTACGATTTTTATAATAACCAATAATTTTAATATGTTTTTATTTGCTTAGTTTGATAATTAAAAAAAATTAAATGGTGTTACCTTAATGCATGGTTACTGCACAAGTCCGCCTTAAGGCGGATGTCTGTTTTTTCCTTTTATGTACACCTGGCAGTAATATAAATTTTTGCCACAGTACATTTGTGTTCGTAAGTGCAAAATCTAACTTGCCTGAGTTTCTCAGCTCGAAGAAAAATTGATGCATTAGAGGGTTAAGCATAAAAGTTGGATCGATTTTTGTTATTTTCTGTCTGAAATCAGCCTCTTAGTCACCTATTATTTCTGTTTCGTAGGCTTTTATTCTACTTCTTTTGCTGATATTTTATATACTACTTTTAATAATATAATTCATCTGTAATTTTCACATAAAGTTTTATAACTTTTCTTATGAATTGCGCACATCAGTACTGCGTTCCATATTTTATTACTTATTTTGGGACGTTTATGTCAATTATGCTTACATTTTATTTTAATTATCTAATTTAATTAATATTTGCTATATAAGACCTATTTGACCACCCTGTAATACAGAATTTAGATTTTAAGAAAATATTTTTATTTTTCGTCATAACGTTTTTTTATATTGTGTAGACTTAATATTTTATCACTGGAACAAAATGTATTTACATAAAAAAGAGTATGCCTGGAGCCATTTAGAAAACTCTGAACACAGAAGAGGAAAAAGTAATTTCAAAGTTGATTTTTCATCGAGGAATGGGTACTCACTTCTTTAAATAACTTTTCTGTTGGGACAATTAACTTTTGTAAATCCAAATTGCAATTACGAAGTAAAACAAAACTTGGGAAACGAAACATACGAGGCGTTGTGTCCACAGTTCTCATCGGATATTACCCAGCATGTAAATAATTGAGAAAGTTTTTTTCAGATGGTATTAGATTAAAAAAAGGCAAAAGCATCACGTCTTTTTCAATATAAAGTAGGGTTACACAAGATTTCAGATCTTATCTCATAATACAATAATTGGGCAGGTCTGTAACCAAAAGGGCTGTTTAAATACTTTTAACTTTTTATAATATTTGATATTCTGAAAACGAAAATTATATCAGTAAATGTCTAAGACATCAGGATTTTTTTTCCTTGTCTCAGCTATGAGATCTTGCACTTGTCGTTCTGAAATACATCCTCCTCCTCCTAAGTGCCTACTCTATTGAGGTTGGCGATCAATATGGCAAATTTCTCTCTGTTTTGGGCTTGATGGATTAAGTCATTTCCTGTTGTGTGAGTTCAATCTCTGATGTTTCGGAGCCAGGATTTCTTCTTTCTTCCTATACCCCTTTTACCCTCGATTTTGCCTTCTAATATTACCTGGAGCTGCTCAAATTCCTTATGGGGCATTATGTGTCCTAGATATGACGTCTTTCTAATTTTAATTGTATTAACCAGATGAGGTCGTGTGTTCATTATTTCCAGTACCTCTTCATTTGTAGTTTTGCTGGTACAGCTTATTCTTAGCATTCGGCGGTACATCCACATTTCGAATGAATTCAGTTTGTTGACGTCATACTATTTTATTGTCCAGGTCTCACAGCCATATAGTAGTAGAGACCACACATAACACTTCAGTGTTCTTAACC